TGCTACAGAGAGCTCATAATACATGCACTTCAAGTGTAATGAAAACATGCTAATTCACTGTGTGATGTGAGTAGCTCCACCACTGTGCCTACACACCAAAGAGAATTTTATGTACGCAAGTTTAATGACGGGAATAATGTTGGAATAAATATTAAATATGCATGTGTGTGTGTGTGTGTGTGTGTGTGTGTGTACTCAGCTAGCTTGCGGGGGTTGAGTTTCGGCTCTTTGGCCCTGCCTCTCAACTGTCAATCAACTGCTGTACAGGTTCCTGAGCCTATTGGGCTCTATCATATCTATATCTGAAACTGTGAATGGAGTCAGCCTCCACCACATCACTTTCTAATGCATTCCATTTACTAACCACTCTGACACTAAAAAAGTTCTTCCTAATCTCTCTGTGGCACATTTGGGTACTCACTTTCCACCTGTGTCACCTTGTGCGTGTACCACCCGTGTTAAATAATCCGTCCTTATCTACCCTGTCAATACCCCTGCGAATTTTGTATATTGTGATCATGTCTCTCCGAGTTCTTCTGTCTTCCATCGACGTGAGGTGCAATTCACGCAGCCTTTCCTCGTACCTCATGCTTCTTCGTTCTGGGACTAGTCTAGTGGCATACCTCTGAACGTTTTCCAGCTTCGTCTTGTGCTTCATAAAGTATGAACTCCATGCTGGGGCTGCATACTCCAGGATTGGTCTGAAATATGTGATAAACAAGGCTCTAAATGATTCCTGACACAAGTTTCTGACGGTAGTTCTGATGTTAGCCAGCCTTGCATACGTCGCTGATGATATTCTTTTGATGTGGACTTCAGGAAAGAGTTTTGGCGTGATATCAACTCCTAGATCTTTCTCTCTGACCGTTTCGTGAAGGACTTCATCTCCCATTCTGTATCCTGTGTCTGGCCTCCTGCTCCCTCTGTCTAGGTGTGTGTGTGTGTGTGTGTGTGTGTGTGTGTGTGTGTGTGTGTGTGTGTGTGTGTGTGTGTGTGTGTGTGTGTGTGTGTGTGTGTGTGTCTTTACATCAAAATAGAAATAAAATAAATCTTCAAAATATCATCTGGCAGAGTATACAATAGTGCAGGCAATATATTTTGTTTCCAAAGACAAACTTAAAATGAGTGACTGAGAAGGAGATGTTTCAAAAGATATTCTTTTCACTATACATAATGGACAAGAACCTGATGTAAAAGGGTCAAGACAAAAAGAATCTTGAAGACGAAGGAGACAAAGAGAGAGAAAGAGAGAGAGAGAGAAAGGAGATTCTTCATAATCATTTTAACATTGTCTTCAAAAATACCAGAAATATACACAGGGGCTTAATTTTATTTGCTTCAGAGACGTCTCCTGGCTCCAAGGAGACGTCTTAAGGGGAAATTTTGTTGCTTCTATTTTAATTTCTCAGTTTCTATCATATTTCTCAATTCTTTAAATTGAGAATCTATTACCTTTTCTTCATACAATATTTCATGTTTTCCTATTACTATATTCAACTGTCTAATTTTCGTTCAATAGTCTGCCATTTTGTTGACTTATTACACACATTACCGAGTAACAGAGTGGCGTGGAATCCTTGACTGTTTCGAACGAAGGTTAGACATATATGAGTGAGTTTGGATTGGTGTAAACAGCAGCTGCCTCATATGGGTCAATAGCACTTCTGAATTAATTTCATTCTTACATTCTTAAGTCCCATCGTCGTGAGAACAAAGTCCAAAGGCAGTCTTAACAAGTCTTAAATATTAATAGAGAATTTATCTCTGAAATGTTTCTGCTTCTGGCCTGTACTCGTCTGCATGAAATAAATCTTAGAGGAAATAATTCCCAAACGTGAAAACCAGATTAATAGACAAGCTCCTCTACTCAAGTGAAACTATTATCGTGGTCACTACTGCAGGGGCTCCTGGCAGCTGAATGGACAACGCTTCGGATTCGTAGTCCTGAGGTTCTGGGTTCGATCCCCGGTGGAGGCGGAGACAAATGGGCAAAAAGCTTCTTTCACCCTGATGCTCTGTTACCTAAATAGGTACCTGGGAGTTAGACAGCTGCTTCCTTGGGAGTGTGTAACAAAAAGGATGCCTAATCGAGGACCGGGCCGCGGGGGATGCTAAGCCCCGAAATCATCTCAAGATAACCTCAAGAAGATAGCAGTGGCAGCGTTTGTTCAACATTTGTCCTCTGAAATGTTGTCATTATGTTATCCGATAAACACAATACGGTTTAGCGAGACGCCAAGTCGGGGTTTAATATACGATTATTCACATTTTACACAACTAACTGGACTTGTCATTACGGTCTCGCTTTTACGTAGGTCGGGGGGTTCGATCCCCGATAATCCACGTGGTTGGGCACTGTTCCTACCTTACGTCGACATATTTCAGCTCCTTATATGTCCCTACCGCTAGTTTTAGATCATATTGTCTTTGCAATTTCTCCTTATAACTATTTGATTGTCTGCCAGACAGAAGCAAAAGGGCGTCGCTTCCCAGCGCCATGTGCTGTTGATCATTGCTCAGCAACACTCAGGAACACTCAGGAAAACTCAGTCAACAATCAGTCAACACTCAGTCAACAATCAGTCAACACTCGAGCTCTTAAAGTAGAGTTCGAGTTTACCTCTGGATCGAGAGGTGTATCACGCTTCTCGGTGTACATATACTGAGTTTACATTAGTTCTGTACTATACTCAGGACTTAAAGTATACTTATTAGTCGGGCTCCGATAGTTCCCTGTATTTCGTAGCTCTGATAATGGTCTTACTGCGTATTTGTATGCTAAATAATACTTTTCGGGCTTCGTGCCTAATTCCATAATTATTTTCCAGTACTTTGTGCAATTGCTAATCACTTTTATATCGTCATCGCTACTAATGAAACCATCACAATGTAATTCTAATAATATTAATAATGAAAGTACAAAATTGTTATTATTATCTTATATAATTACAAATTTTTTATTGAAAATATAATTGTATGTGTTGAGTTCTTTGTGGCAGCAAATCTTTACTTTATTTTTTTTCCCGTGAAATAAATTAAATTCCCGTTAGTGCTTTTAGGAATTCATTTACGAAATGTTTGCAGTGTTGAAGTGACGATGATTTGGTCGCCAGTCTGTTGTAAAACGAATTTCATGACCGATTATTTCGGATGATTCAAGCGTCTAAATTGGTCTGTTCGAGCGGAATAAATTGATATATATTTTTTTGTGGCATTACAGTTTTTTTTTATGATTATCTAAAGTGGTGAGTCGTATGCTCGGTCTGTTTATTTTTTGTATCAAGTTGTAGCATGAATTTTGTCATAACTTATAGTAACTCATTAGTGTTATTTAATGAGTAGTTACAATACAATACAATCTTATTTAGGTAAGGTACATACATACAATAAATTTTTACAAGGATTGGTTGACTTATAGGTAGAGCTAGTACATACAATGCCTAAAGCCACTATTACGCAAAGCGTTTCGGGCATAAGATAGTTCACTTGGGTTCATTGAAACTTCAGTGTTTAAGATCAGCATGTATCATAAACACTGAAGTACACATAAACACTGGTGTTTGCATGTATTTAATATATTAAAGAATAGAAATGCATTATAACTATTCTTGACATATGAGGGAGCCGGTCGACCGAGCGGACAGCACGCTGGACTTGTGATCCTGTGGTCCAGGGTTCGATCCCAGGTGCCGGCGAGAAACAATGGGCAAAGTTTCTTTCATCTTATGCCCCTGTTACCTAGCAGTAAAATAGGTAAGTGGGTGTTAGTCAGCTGTCACGGGCTGCTTCCTGGGGGTGGAGGCCTGGTCGAGGACCGGGCCGCGGGGACACTAAAAGCCCCGAAATCATCTCAAGATAACCTCAAGATAGACATCTCTTAGTAATGTAAAATAATATGTTGTAAATATTTATCCTTTGCTGTAAATCGCTTGCTTATCCTTTGCTGTAAATCGCTTGCTTATCCTTAGTGTAAATCATATGTTTATACCTTATGTTATTCGTATGTTAATCCTCTCTGTTAATCATTTTCCAATCCTCTCTCAATACTCTGCTTATCTTGCAAATTATAGAGGCCTCGGAACTTAATCGAGCAACCCACTTTGTTCGAGACTGTATATTTATTGTGGAGATTTTCTGCCATTGATAATGTCTGAAACAGTTTTAACTGACTTCCATTCTCACTGCGGCGAGTAAATGCGCTTACGATAAGGCTTAATTAACCCACTATATTAACCCTCCGAGTTTTAACAGTGAAGCTTAGAACTGAAAGCTTAACATATACGTGAACACATTTATTATGAGAGAATAAATACCAGCAAACTCGAATTTAATGATCAAACTGCATTGAGAATTTATGCTGAAGCTGGATATGGCTTAACTGCTTAACTGAACGATGTCTATTTCATTTCAGTCAGTCGAATGATTACGTGACGTCTGCTAACTGACCCTCGAAGTCAGAGGCAACACATATAGACAGTGTTGCTTCTGTTTATCAGTCCTTTCGTGATACCAGCTTGGTGGAAGAGAGTTAAAACACTTTGGGTTTACAAATTGGGTGAATTGAAAACCATTCTTTATTCTCAGCCAACGTGAGGGGGAAATTCCATTTGGTGGTGACTGATGTAGGTAGTGGTGATGGTAGTGGTGATGGTAGTGGTGAATCTAGGTATCTCATCTCCTTCCTGTTGGGCTATGTTGCTGATTGCTATGGTTCATGTTGATGTTGCTATTGACCATGTTGCTGTCGACGCTGTTCTCCATGTTGGTATCCATCAGAGGGCAGACTCGTGAGATTAGCAATGGATGCAATATTGCTAACAAGACCGTAATGCATTACCGTTCATCGCTTATTGCTGCAACATTCCCCGAACCCCATCGTTGTCAGTAATGTTGCCAATTAATTAGGGAAGTTAATTATGTAATAAGTTAAACAACAGTGTAATTACTTAATTTTTGGCATAAAATATAACAGGGTTACGCCCCTCAAGTTGCGACGGGGTTCATTTTGGAGTGGTTAACGGTCCAGTGGCTTGTTCTGAAGTAGTTAACGGTCCAGTGACTTGTTCTGAAGTAGTTAACGGTCCAGTGGCTTGTTCTGAAGTAGTTAACCGTCCAGTGGCTTGTTCTGAAGTAGTTAACGGTCCAGTGACTTGTTCTGAAGTAGTTAACGGTCCAGTGGCTTGTTCTGAAGTAGTTAACGGTCCAGTGGCTTGTTCTGAAGTGGCTAACGGTCCAGTGGCTTGTTCTGAAGTGGCTAACGGTCCAGTGGCTTGTTCTGAAGTAGTTAACGGTCCAGTGGCTTGTTCTGAAGCAGTTAACGGTCCAGTGGCTTGTTCTGAAGTGGCTAACGGCCCAGTGGCTTGTTCTGAAGCAGTTAACGGTCCAGTGGCTTGTTCTGAAGTAGTTAACGGTCCAGTGACTTGTTCTGAAGCAGTTAACGGTCCAGTGGCTTGTTCTGAAGTGGCTAACGGCCCAGTGGCTTGTTCTGAAGCAGTTAACGGTCCAGTGGCTTGTTCTGAAGTAGTTAACGGTCCAGTGGCTTGTTCTGAAGTAGTTAACGGCCCAGTGGCTTGTTCTGAAGTAGTTAACGGTCCAGTGGCTTGTTCTGAAGTAGTTAACGGCCCAGTGGCTTGTTCTGAAGTAGTTAACGGTCCAGTGGCTTGTTCTGAAGTAGTTAACGGCCCAGTGGCTTGTTCTGAAGTAGTTAACGGTCCAGTGGCTTGTTCTGAAGTAGTTAACGGTCCAGTGGCTTGTTCTGAAGTAGTTAACGGTCCAGTGGCTTGTTCTGAAGTAGTTAACGGTCCAGTGGCTTGTTCTGAAGTAGTTAACGGTCCAGTGGCTTGTTCTGAAGTAGTTAACGGTCCAGTGGCTTGTTCTGAAGTAGTTAACGGTCCAGTGGCTTGTTCTGAAGTGGCTAACGGTCCAGTGGCTTGTTCTGAAGTAGTTAACGGTCCAGTGGCTTGTTCTGAAGTGGTTAACGGTCCAGTGGCTTGTTCTGAAGTAGTTAACGGTCCAGTGGCTTGTTCTGAAGTAGTTAACGGTCCAGTGGCTTGTTCTGAAGTAGTTAACGGTCCAGTGGCTTGTTCTGAAGTAGTTAACGGTCCAGTGGCTTGTTCTGAAGTAGTTAACGGTCCAGTGGCTTGTTATGCAGTAGTTAACGGTCCAGTGGCTTGTTATGCAGTAGTTAACGGTCCAGTGACTTGTTCTGAAGTAGTTAACGGTCCAGTGACTTGTTCTGAAGTAGTTAACGGTCCAGTGGCTTGTTATGCAGTAGTTAACGGTCCAGTGGCTTGTTATGCAGTAGTTAACGGTCCAGTGGCTTGTTATGCAGTAGTTAACAGTAGTTAATGTGGCTCATTCTACACAGTTCATTATATTTCATCTAGAGATCCTGTGAAATTTTCAAATGTAAAAAAAAAATAACTCAAGGAATGAGAACAAAATATATTAGACGACCGATATGATTTGCTGATTTCAGTCAGTTTTTTTTTCTCCAGGAAGACTTCGCTATGTTTATAATGAGTTTATCGACATTACAACATGATAATTTGCCGAGTGTGTGTGTGTGTGTGTGTGTGTGTGTGTGTGTGTGTGTGTGTGTGTGTGTGTGTGTGTGTGTGTGTGTGTGTGTTTTTAAAGTGCTCGGAAAAAAAAAATTCCTTCCATATAAGAAAACTTGTTTTATTTAATTCATTAATTTGTCTTCACTGTTTTTTTTTTGGTGGAAAACACCGTCAATCTCTCAACACTGATTAAAAAAACTATTAACAAATATCCTAGATATGTTTTCCATTACATAATATTAAGACATCGATTTCTCAAGCATTTAAAACAATTTCCAAAATGTAAATTTATATATATTAAAATATTTTGCTATCATTTGTTGTGTGTGGAATCCATTGTGCAAACAATTAACTTTGCTATGTAAAGTTTTGTTATATTTAGACTTATAATAAATGAGTTTGTTCCCACAAGTGAAATGTTAAACAAGATCCTGATATTATCTAGAGTGTAGCTGAAGGGGAGGGGACTATCAGGGGAAAAGGGGCAAGCCATTACGACTATATAGCACTGGGAAGGGACGGGGTGGAAAAGGAATAGCGCCCAACCACTTGTGGACGGTCGGGGCTTGAACGCCGACCTGCATGAAGCGAGACTGTCGCTCTACCGTCCAGCCCAAGTAGCAACTATTAGCGACTTTTCAATAAAGCAAAAACACCAGAAGACCCTTAAGACCAAGACTCAGTTTCTTATCCCGACTTTTCCCCTCAATTCTCCCCTCAAATGTCTCTCTCCCTGATCCTCATATAACACTCTAATTTTCCTTTCCATTAACCCTCCCTTTCCTCTCTCGCTTCTCCATTTCATTCTTTACTCTCTCCCTTTACTTAGTCACCTCGTATTCTCCAGGCGCCCCTTCACTACACTCTCTCCGAGAACTGTGTTGTGTCCTAATTTTTATAAATTTATTTCTACGGTTATAATTCCAGTGGCCTTATTACTTCTGATTAATTACCTATTATTTTCATCTGAAACCCCAAGAGAGAGAGAGAGAGAGAGAGAGAGAGAGAGAGAGAGAGAGAGAGAGAGAGAGAAAGAGAGAGAGAGAGAGAGAGAGAGAGAGAGAGAGAGAGAGAGAGAGAGAGAGAGAGAGAGAGAGAGAGAGAGAGAGAGAGAGAGAGAGAGAGAGAGAGAGGTGGGGAGCTGGGAAAGTTTGGGTTCTAGAGGCAATATTTTTCGAATTATTTTAAAACAGTAATAATAAAACTCATTTTTGTAGATTTCTAGACAATTTCTATAACTTTGTGAAATTATTTATGAGGTAAATGGCAAATAAGTGCTCTGAACGAGCACTCTTAATTACTCGGCAGTGAAGTGAAGCAAGACTTACATCTTCACTACACACTATCTTCATCACCGTAACCATCTACACTACTCACGACCATCCGCATCACTGTAGCCATCTTCACGACCCGGGCACCGCCGGATACACCCCGTCTACAAACATCATCGTTCCCTCCTTCCTTCTCCACCATCATTTTCCATCACCACCTTCTCTATCCTTCATCAATCTTTCATTCCCTTGAATCTTAGTGAGGATGGTATTTGGTATCAAGCGAGGTTCGAACGTGGTATAATTAACACCAGTCATTTTCTTTAGATAGTCGCCTTTTGTTATTATAATTTTATTAAGACATACAAGAAAAAAAAGACCTTTTATGGGACGCATAAAAGCAATCATTATATAGCAGACTTTCCTTTTAATGCTTCGATATCTCAAAGATCTCCGGCGGAACTCAACAAAACTTTTTGATATTTTGAGAATTTTATGAGTCTGGCCCCACGATTCTGGATTCATAAAAGTCTGGTATTATGAATCAGACCCACGGTGCCCGTGGGTCTGATGAGGTCAATAACCGCTAAGAATTTTTTCTTGTTTTTATTTGTCGCGATAATTTTAGTCGTGAGTGTCTGAAGGCGGATTTAGGGAAAGCAAAACAACTACTTCTCCCTCTGATGCGTCCATCTGAGACAATTCGTAATGTTTCCCTTGCATATTGAGCGAGTTCGTTGCATAATGATTCGTTTAGGTGCAGTATAAGGTTCGTTTACCTTTGATTGCCATTGACTAAATGATTAATCCACCATACAACATCCCTCGAAATACACAAGGAAATCACACTAACTTGGGTTAAAGAAAAGGGGCATGTGGGCAGTGTGTGCCCCACTCTTCAAAAGGGCACTGGGCCTATTCCGTCACACTTCCCCCCCAATATCACTCCCAATAACACCCCCAGTCACCCTGCAAAGTGTAGTCAAGAAAAACTACATTCCTTACCAAAATAAAACAAAAAACTACAAAAAACTTCCTTACAAAATTACAAAAACCTATTTCCTATTTCGCCGCGAATCCGGCCTCCTCCACCTTCGAACAGGCAGACATTTTCTTGTATAGATTTTATTTTGTATTTTTTAGTTTTTAACACGCATGTCATATCAATTTCTGAATTCTATTTTTATGTAACTCTATGAACTCACAACTTGCATTGCAAGACTAGACAATTTAGTGAATCTACATTTTCCCTTGATGCAATTATTGTTTTATTAATTTGGAAAAACAAATGTTTTGCCAAGCTACAGAAATTGGGAGAATTGCTCGCTTCTATTTTGCTCTTAAATAATGGTTTTAAAAATTTCTTATTTTGTTTTTAAGGAAGTACACCTCTTGAAAAATTAATATCATAATCAAACTTATAATGAAAGTAATCGTGGTGGATAATATTGTAAAGACAGAAACAATTATAACCGGGGATATATAATCCTAGGTTATAATTGGATATATATATATATTCACCGGATATAGGAAAGTTTCACCCGGTGTAATATTTAATCTATGAGAGGTTTTTGATTCGTTATATGAAAGTGAAACTTTGGTATTATTTACAGTTTCACGCTGAAAAATATACGAGAAATATACGAAAAATATACTTATGCAATAATAGAGTTATCAGATAACGTCAAACTGTTTAACAACCAGGTCCCCATTCACCCTTGGTAAACCGAGGCAACAGTTAACGATTGGCACCCGGTCAATCCTCCCCGGCCAGGATACGAACCCAGGCCAAAGTGCTCGCGAAGCGCCGGGCGAGTGTCTTACCACTGCGCCACGAGGGATTGCTATTCTTGATTTTGTGGTCTTCATAACCTTGCAGAGGCTCGTAGCCCCTAAGGCTCTCACCATCACCATATCAACTGTTATTATTCATTTTATCTTGCCTTTGATGCATTTAGAATATTTAGTTCAACCGAATCCATCATACTATGAAATGGACACAGTTTCCTTGATTCTTAAAATATTCAAGCTGTTTTTCAGACACTTCAATTGAAAATTTTGATGATATGCTAATACTATCACATGAGCAGTACATATGAAGTAACAAAATCACATATGCAGTACATATGAACTAACATAATCACATGAGCAGTACATATGAACTAACATAATCACATGAGCAGTACATATGAACTAACATAATCACATAAGCAGTGTAGGGAAAGTACAATATTCCCACATATTTAAATTACTTAAAAAGATACGCTTTTAGTTAGTGAAATAAGTCAACTTTTCTCATAGAGCCGGTAGAGTGAACATGGCGTCCTGGGAGCCACATCAAACGAGGAGAGACTCGGCTCGAAGACTACACATACTCGGTTCAAAGCTAATGACTGTAACCAGTTACACCCTCTGTGTGTTCGCCTTGATGATAAGGCAAGCTCTCGGGGGAAATTTCCAACCCGGTAAATTGCGGCCATTTATCGTCAGCAAAAGAAGTTTATTTCTTTCTAACTGCTAGAAAAGCTTCAGGTTTTCTTTCAAACTATTTGATGAAGAACGCTAAGAGTGTTTAATGCGTTTTATTGTTATTGGGGCGAGGCTGAGTCCTACTTCTACCTTCCGGTGAGGGGTAATCTACTTCTACCTTCCGGTGAGAGGTAATCTACTTCTACCTTCCGGTGAGGGGTAATCTACTTGTACCTTCCGGTGAGGGGTAATCTACTTGTACCTTCCGGTGAGGGGTAATCTACTTGTACCTTCCGGTGAGGGTAATCTACTTGTACCTTCCGGTGAGGGGTAATCTACTTCTACCTTCCGGTGAGGGGTAATCTACTTATACCTTCCGGTGAGGGATAATCTACTTCTACCTTCCGGTGAGGGGTAATCTACTTCTACCTTCCGGTGAGGGGTAATCTACTTCTACCTTCCGGTGAGGGGTAATCTACTTCTACCTTCCGGTGAGGGGTAGTTTTTCTGTCGGTTGATTACCGATTTTAATCAAAACTCTTTATTCCTTAAATCTACATAAAATATTTATATATTGTGATATAAAATATAATCATATAACGACTTTAATATAGAAAATAGCTGTGACTTTTCACTGAACGATTCGTGGTTTAATTTATCTCCAAGACTTTAAATTGGACTGAGTTTTTTTTCTTAAAACTACGATCACCGCTTTGAGAATATTATAGAAAATGTCAACTCTGAATTTTCTATTTGAATTCGTCAGCCCTGAAAACCTGCTAGTGATTTATGCATGAGAGAATTCCTATACATTATTCACAACTTGAAGCGTAGGAAAGGAGAGCTGTTTTTTTTCGAATTTGGCAGCTGAATAGAATATCAATGACCTTCTGAGAATAATTAATCCAACTCACAAGAAACATGGAGCCACAGGGATCACTTTTTGTTTTGATTTTCTGTGCTGACGTGTAAATGTGACACTCTTGATTTCTACATACGTTATAGTATGTTACTCTTGTTATAGTATATATAGTCTTGTTATAGTCTATATATGTTATAGTCTATATAGTTATAGTCTTGTTATTGTCTTGTTATAGTATAGTTACTCTTCCTCACCCAGAGCGGCTGGGTGAGGAAGGATTTTTCTCAGATATATATACTCAGATATATATACTCAGATATATATATTTTCTCAGATATATCTCAGATATATATATAGAGCTAGTTATGCTCTACACTATGTAGAGCATAACTAGCGTAGAAACTGTTTTTGTTCAGTAACTATAATCTGACATATTGATATTATAATAATATATAACCTGTTAAATATCACTATAATCTGATTATAACCTGTTATATATGTTTATAATCTGATTATAACCTGTTATTTGTGATTATAATCTGATTATAACCTGTCATATATGATTATAATCTGATTATAACCTGTCATATATGATTATAATCTGATTATATCCTATTAAATCTGATTATAATCTGTTAAATGTGATTATAATCTGATTATAACCTCTTATATATGATTATAATCTTACTATAACGTGCCATATAGGATTTTACTTATTTCTATATTTTAGTAAATGCACAAAACCCACGATTGTAATTTTCATGCTAGACAGTTACAGAGACCTTACAGTAATTTACACGAGAATACAGTATAGGGAACAGTAATTTACACGAGAATACAGTAAAGGGTACAGTAATTTACACGAGAATACAGTAAAGGATACAGTAATTTACACGAGAATACAGTAAAGGGATACAGTAATTTACACGAGAGAAGAAAGTAATGGTGGTAGTAAGGAAGTGTGTGTTAAGACAGTGGTAGTGTAGTTAACTCAATTATTTAACAACTTTCCTTAATTAACTCTTCTAGTTAATTAGGAGGGCAGCCGTTTAGGCTCACAGAGCGGTAAGACCTGCGTCATTGGATCTTCAGACCGTTCTCTTGTTCTGCCTCAACGTGCAAAAACGACCGTTCTAACGGTGCAAAGAAATGCACGAACTCACTTTAACCAGACGTACCGTTAAACGGAGAACGCTGATCTATGCGTGTTGCATAGCACGTTGCATTTGGTACGATGGTTACCATGACGCTGTATCGAGAGATCTGTAGCGTAATTAAATACAATTTTCAAATACCTGTCGCCACAATTACGGGCTCACCATAGCCCGTGCTACTTGGAACTTTGTTCCAGGAAGCGAATCTTTAACAACAACATGTATCGAGAGCCGAGGTTGGGAAATAATAGGATACCCTAGTTAATTGGTTGTTGATATATGTTATCCCCCCATTGACGATAACTAAGGGGTACCTATTAGGTTTCTCGAGGTTCCCTTTTCATGACCTTTCTCAGGGTGCAGCCCACAACAGCTGCCTTGCACTCCATGTACCATTTTACCCGGGTGAATAGATGCATCAGGTGAAAGGAAACCTGTACAGATGCCCTCCTGACTAGCGTGAGGTTGGGTGCCTAATTTAATCAACCTCGTTGTTACGACTTACTGTCTGCGGTGGTAATAACAGTTTGCAAGATCAGTGCTACTTACGCGTACGCGTTCCGACCCCACGCAGGAACACGCCCTATTGTTTTCTCGTCTGAGGAGCTACTAGTTGTAGCAGCAGCAGTAGCAGTAACTTGCGGTGTGAATAACCATCTTCGACCCACCCATTGGACGGCTGTTATCCTGGCCCAATTGCCGTCAGCTGTAGTTAGTAGTGCAGTTAATAGACCTAGTCACCTTTCATTAATGGTCTCATTAAATCGTAATATATAGAATAAGCTCATAGCAAAAAGGTATATTGTAGGAAGCATAATATGGTATCATTTTATATCAAATATATATATACGCAAAAGTCAGCGTCTTTACAAGTATTAAATAACTCTGAGGGAGACAATACAGAATTGGTGATGAAATCTTAATATCTCCAACATTAGCAAGGAATAATGTACCAGAAAAATTAACTCGAATTCAAAGTAACAAGGAGCGGGAGCTACCTGGATGCCCAACTGTCCTGTACAAGAGCTGAGACCGTAATGAGCCCAACTAGGGCATCAAACAGCAATTACAGTTACGAACAGGTAAACAAAAAATAGGTAACAGAGAAAATAACATAAAAACCAGGAGTAACTTGACTAAATTGTCGAGGGGCACATTTCAACGTTTAAGAAAGCCCAAAAAATAGGTATTAACTGCAAATTCAATTCCATTCAACTTTTCCGAAATCATTAAAAGATGGAAAACTAGAGCAATCTTAGAACTTATACAAAGTAGAGCAGCCAAAGTAATTATGAAAAGAAGGCACCAAACCGGGAAGGCTATGTAGCAACCTGTCCTCTTAAAAATAACGTCACTTTTCGCTCGTATGCGCGCTATGGCCAAATTTGGATGTAATTTGAAATGAAATCGACTCACAAAAGTGACGTGTTGGTCGGGGCCGGAGAAGAACCACCCCATCAAGGGCAAGAACGACCTCAGCTTCCTGAAGCAGAACCTGGGCTTCACGAGCCCCAGGAGGTGGACGGCCCGGTCCCGCACCTACGGGTTCAAGACAGAGATCGTCACAGCCCTCTTTCACCCGAGGCCGGCCTCCTTCAAGACCAAGTAGAAGGAAGAGTGATAATTATTATCACTAATTTTCTTCTTCTTCAATTTCTTCATTTTCAGAAGTGTGGGGTTGGGTGTCATATATGCTACGTGTTCTTGGTGTTTGTGTATGTGTGTATACGTGTGTATATATGTGTATACGTGTGTATATGTGTATGTGTGTGTTTGAAGTCACATTCTGGACGTCTTCAAACATCTGGCACTAATATTGACGAAAGGAGAATCACGGAGACATGACTTCCATTTAGAAGCGTTTTTTAACTCATAAAAACTTTTAATGAGGAAAATTGATCCCCTCGGCAAATTGCTCCAAAGATTTCCAGAGAGTTTCCATCCATTTTAAAAATATCAGAAAAAGTCCAGCTTTAATAATTTTTTTCTTATATTTATTTCGTAATTATAACAAAAATCTGCCAGTTAATTCACAGATTCCTGATGTCCACTGCCAGGCATGCCCAGTGAGTGTCGCTAGCGAAAACTATTGGGCACAGTCAAGTACTTTGTCGGCGCCTCTTAAATTACTCAATTCACACCCGTTCACTGATGTATACCAGTTGCACAAACATATTACATTCGACAATTGAAGATTAGACATCACCGAAGCACTACATGTCAAACAATCTTAATTGATCATTCTCAAGACCAAGGCAGAATACCCCAGCACACACTTCCTCAGCCTTCATGAGAACATTAGATGTAAGAAAGCTCAAGATGATGGCTTTTTGGCCCATTCGACACCTTACATAAGCGATTGATTAACTGATGAAGATTAGGCCACCCAAGATGTGGCACGGGCATGAATAACCCGTTATTAAATAAGCACATCCATTATGATTATATATATTCCATTGCACTAGCTAACTTCTATACAGTTCACCTCTCTGCCTTCGAAAATGTTGAGAGGTTCAACAAAACTTTTGACCTTCCCGTCCTATCCTAACTCCTTATCCTCATATCTTTTCCAAGTGCTATATAGTCGAAATGGCTTAGTGCTTTCTCCCCAAAATGGCATTACCTTAAGGGAGTGAAGATAACACACTTGAAACTTGCCTCATTAACATCTAGATTTGCTTTACCATACTGTTTTATGGTATGTTTTTGTGTTTATGTAGAGTAATGTTTATGTTTAAGCATACATAACATAAGGATGGGGGAGGGTGTTTAGATTAAGTGATATGTGAGCTTACTTGCGGCTCTCTAAGTGTGCCAGCGGCCTCTACTTTTGTTTGTTCCAAGAAGTGCTTAATGCCTCCCAAGACATGGATTCAGTCTCATATCTCCTTCTCTCCGCCGCAAGGAGACCTCAGCCACCAGTCACGTGTGAGACAGTCTACGTTACTCAGTGTTAACCTGGAATACAAATCATGAATCAGTTTACCTTAAGTTTTAAGTTTAAGTTAAGTTTACCTTAAGTTAAGGCAGTGTCTGGGATGCTCCTGGACCCAGGTTCGAATCCTCGTCACGGCTCTTGTGGATTAGTTCATTTAATCAGTGCTTCTTTTGCACAGCTTCGAGGGATCTTATCTTGATCACTGTGCTGTTAACGAGGGAAGAGCTAATCAAAAACTCTCACCACAGAGAAAGCCGATGGCCAGTTTAACTTTCAGACATTTTGAGTATTGTAAAATTTGACGCATGCTAATGTGCTAATAATTTTATTTTTATGCTGAATGATTCTCGTTACCAAGTCTCCTTGGTAACTTGGTAACAAATTTTTCGTCATTACATCCAGATAATCAAATACAATCAAATCAAATAAGTTAAAATAAAAAAGTTACATGGTTTTCTCCGAAGCCAAACATAGAAATATATGCATACGAAATAAAAGGGTCAAAATCAAAATATTGGGGGATTATCTCTTTACAGCGGACTGCAGGCGTAAGATAAAGTTGATGCCATTGCTAAGACTTCAATAAATAAAAACAATGTTGAACCTAATTTGGAGTTATCAAATCCTTGAAGGTATCATTAGACAAGAACTCTTAGATGAATTTGAAGAAAGTAGAGACAGGAAGTAGCATATCAATTGCTCATCACAATGAAATGTGTCAAACAAAATAGGTGTATGGGGCAAGTAAAACATAAGCAGACGTTGTAAATACGTCTGTAACAACGTTGTAACAACATAAGCGTCTATAAGTAACAACTTATAGACGTTGTCACAGATCTAATACAACTTGGTTGCAAGAATCTCTGGTAGTTCGGCTTGTATAGGGACCTAGCTGAAGTAAAGTGTATGTGGACAAAGACAAGAACACACACACAATATAACAGAACATTATATCTAAGACTGTGACAAAATTGAACCATTTAGAGATAAAACTAACCCTCACACTGCATGAAATAGGCAAACCATCTTATTACAAATGATAAAAATATCTGAAATCCATGCACTGTATCCATGTTGCGCTTCCATTAGATAATTGACATATAAGATTACTCAACAAGCGGTATAGTGTGAAGACTAGTAATAATAAACAGCAGCTATTCTACTATCCTGTAATACCCTTGAATCTAAATTACTTAAGTATTAGCAAAAACACATATCATTGACTAATTTTAACTACTGTACATAGATACAGAAGTGAAAAATCTCTGTAACTAGCTGACATTATAATTATAAGGTGTGCAGGATAGATGAAATTGTTTATGAACAGACATAATCTCCGTTGAGTTACATATTGGCCTTTTGTACCCTCTGTAATCCTTTTTTGCGCGAGCGCTCACAGGATGAGTATGGGGGTACATAAAATAAACAACCTATATTTGGAGACAGCAGTCAATAAAATCTAAAGTGAGTTTACACCTTAAATGTTGGTATACGTTAATGTGTATACATCACGGTGAGGACTGGGTTCCTTTCTCGCCTTGTGATTTTCTACTTTAATTGCAATAAAATCGTGCAATGTAACATGAACTTTGATAATATTTATCGTAGCGAATTACGGTTAAGGTGACTGGGAGTTATTTTCTCGATTTGATCTCTTAATATGGCAACCCGTTCTCACAAATTTAATAAGTCAATATTGACTTATTAGTTGCGTGCATAGGTGACATACTAAACATAATAGTTTCCCTTGAAAAGCTTCATAGAAAACACCGACCTTACCTAACCTACTTAGTATTTTAAAATAAGCATCTTATAGCTTCGTAATTACAATTGTTACTTAATCTATTATAGGTATAGGTTAGGTAATAATTGTAATTACGAAGCAATAAGATGCTTATCTTAACATACTAAGTAGGTTAGGTAAGGTCGGTGTTTTCTATGAAGCTTTTCAAGGGAAACTATTGTGTTAAGTATGTCACCTATGCACATATTTAATAAGTTAATATTGACTTATTAAATTTGCGAGAACGGGTTGAATATGGAGAGGCCCGCGACTCATCATGAGTACCTCAAGGTCTGTGCCTCATCACTGACTCATCATGAGTACCTCAAGGTCTATGCTTCATCACTGACTCATCGTGAGTATCTCAAACCCAAGGCTCAAGCATGAACATAATCGCCTTATCAACTAATAGTTTACAAGCAAAAACATTTATTATTTTAGTAAACATTACAAAGTAATTAATTCTCCTCTCACTGAGATTGACTAATATGGACCTAATATGTCTCCTCGTCTCAATTATTGCATAGAACAATCCCTCTCAGAACAATCCTTCATATAACAATCCCTCATATAACAATCCCTCACAGCTTCTCACACACCTGCCTGTCTACCTGTCACCACTACCCTAGTGAGGATACTATTCATGGTCAGCTTCACACTTCACTCATTCCCTGACATGAACGGCTTTACTTGTAATAGTTTTTCTGCTGTAGCTGCTCGCAGATCCAGCAAGACTCATTGCTGAACCTTTCAGGCTGAAACTGGGTCGCAGACAGTTTTTATGTGCTGATCACAGTTAAACACTAATAAGCACTTTTTGACTGTAATCAAACAGTGCTTCACTGTTTGAATCATTCTGAATCTACAACAGTGAGCACTCACGTCTGGCTCAACCTAAACTCGTCCAGATTTCTTCTGTTTACAAATACTGATATAGACTGAACCTCCACTTTCTGAAATCTCTCCTGAGACCGACACTGGCACACTGAACAATCGTTCCAATAATTAATCCTCAAGATAAGCCTTCACACAGATGAAACCTTCACCTATCTTTTTGTCATAAGAAAAAAAAATAGCTTGAAGGAACAAAATAGGAAATCACGAATAAGATAAAATACCCAAATGAAATAAATAGAAATCAATAAAGATAGGGAGAAGATAATTTAGACCAGGGAGAAGATGATAAGGTCAGTCAGTCAGAGAGAAAGAGAGTGGGTGGTACTAAAGGCGAGGAATATATAGCCAGGGGAGAGGAGGCTGAAATCAGGGAGAGTACGATAAATTGAGAGCAAAACAACGTCAAGGGGAGTTGAATAACGTTACAGGGGGAGCTATCAAGTCAATGGAATACCTGTGGAAGAGGCCTGGCGTGATGGAGGCAGCGAGGTACCAGCGCCAACACTCACGATATTGTACGATTTAAAAGGGGCCCAGACCAAGGGGGAAGATAATAAATTTAAGAGCAATTATACCATGGGAGAAATCAGCAATGTGAATAGAGCAGAGAGAGAGAGAGAGAGAGAGAGAGAGAGAGAGAGAGAGAGAGAGAGAGAGAGAGAGAGAGAGAGAGAGAGAGAGAGAGAGAGAGAGAGAGAGAGAGAGAGAGAGAGAGAGAGAGAGAGAGAGAGAGAGAGAGAGAGAGAGAGAGAGAGAGAGAGAGAGAGAGAGAGAGAGAGAGAGAGAGAGAGAGAGAGAGAGAGAGAGAGAGAGAGAGAGAGAGAGAGAGAGAGAGAGAGAGAGAGAGAGAGAGAGAGAGAGAGAGAGAGAGAGAGAGAGAGAGAGAGAGAGAGAGAGAGAGAGAGAGAGAGAGAGAGAGAGAGAGAGAGAGAGAGAGAGAGAGAGAGAGAGAGAGAGAGAGAGAGAGAGAGAGAGAGAGAGAGAGAGAGAGAGAGAGAGAGAGAGAGAGAGAGAGAGAGAGAGAGAGAGAGAGAGAGAGAGAGAGAGAGCGAGAGAGACAGAGACAGAGAGAGAAAGAGAGTTGTTTATTGTTAAAGATTCGCTACCTGGAACAAAAAGTTCCAAGTAACACGGGCTATGGTGAGCCCATAGATAGTTATGTGAGAGAGAGAGAGAGAGAGAGAGAGAGAGAGAGAGAGAGAGAGAGAGAGAGAGAGAGAGAGAGAGAGAGAGAGAGAGAGAGAGAGAGAGAGTTTTGCACTACTGTAGTTGCCAAAGGTACACGGATTGAATGGTCAATCTTATAAGTGCTCAGTGATTAAAGTTGACATACTGGGGGATGAAATGGGATTCATCAATGACCATATCATGATCCATGTACTGAAACTTCATTGTAAACATTGCACTGTAAGCATTGTAAGCATTCACTGAGAGCTCTAGTCTAGACCTTGTGTCTATCTTTACATGTAGAGTCTCTGTTGTTTCCTAATTTCGGTTTTATTTCAATCTGTTCCATTAGAGTTGTCGTATCTCGAAGAATATGAGATTCAGCTTCTGAACTTTTCAGAAGTGTTTTTCTTTTATGCATATTCGTCCTTATTAGTATTTTATGTGTCCTAAATTTAATTTGCATAACCCAGAGCCCAGGTTATGAATTATGTGTCATTAACGTGTGACTTCGCTTCTCTTTCTCGCATATTTCTTCCTCGCTCTTATATATTTTGTGATTCATTTTTGTCCTGTTCTCTGAGGCTTCCATCCCGTTCATTAGAATTACACCTTATAAACTCTATCCGGTTTTGTGTTCATTTTTTAATTATCTTATTTCTAATGATTATCTGGCATTCTGCAACTCCATTTTCTGTAATGGATATCTTCCATTTTTCCCTTCAATTGCTCTATTTGCAACCTTAATTATATCACCTTAGGAGCCAGTGACCCCTTGAACAGTGAACACTGAACAGTGAACACTGAAGAGAAACACTGAGGAGTGAACACTGAACAGTGACTCCAGAACAGTCCCCACTGGCCCCTAACGACACTTCATATTTATTCCTCTTAAAGTCTTGCTCATTTTGAGTGGCGACTTTAGCCTTTCAGAACCAAAGTCAACTCTCAATACCCACCAGGAAATGATGTACACCGCTTGGTGTATAGTATACAACGCTTGGTGTATACTATACAACGCTTGGTGTATACCTGCCTCTCCGCGTAGGAGATTTCCAGAGGTTATTTCCATTATATCAAGTTTCCGCCGCGCTTCTGATCAACTACACATCAGGAAAATTAATCCGAAAAGGAAATCTTCCCTCTGAAGGTTCCCGGAAGTAAGAACGAGACGGGGTTCGAAAATATAAAGAACAGGCACACGGAGGAAAGCTGTCTGATAGGAACCCCCCCCCCCCAGCATCACTAGGAATATATTATTTCCACTTGAGGCTGGAGAGGTCTTTAGGGAGAATGAAGAGTGACAGAAGATGCCAAAAAGAGGATAATGAAGAGAGATGTGAGAGGGATGAGGAAACCATGATCTGAAGGCAGGGAGTCCGCCAGGCAAGGGGGAGTAAGGAATCAATACCAACCCTTCTCGCAGCATCCCGACCCACCGGGAGATGAAACTGTTGGAAAGGATCTCTGAGCATCACTTGATGCTTCACTGAGAGTACAACAGTGATAGAGGGTGTGTGTGTATATATATACATATCTGCACAGTGTACATATATATATATATATATATATATATATATATATATATATATATATATATATATATATATATATATATATATATATATATATATTAGTATATTTTGGTAGCAGTCTTTCCTGTAGACATATATTATTAAATATGACCGAAAAAGTAAGATTAATAATTCTAACACGAATTTTCTCAATCTTTCGTACATTACGCTTCACTGTTGGAGGTAAATCAAAAATCACTTCTCCAAAATTCATTTTTATTTCTAGTCTGACGCGACACGGGCGCGTTTCGTAAAACTTATTACATTTTCAAAGACTTCACAAATACACAACTGATTAGAACGTATCTCTGATTTTATATCTACATTTGAGTGAGGTGGGAGGGGTGATGTGGCATTAGAACAAGAGGGGATATTAATAGGGTATTAAAAGTATCAACACAAGACAGAACAGAAACAATGGGTATTGAATAGAAGTGTTTGTAGAAAGCCTATTGGTCCATATTTCTTGATGCTTCTATATTGGAGCGGAGTCTTGAGGTGGGTAGAATATAGTTGTGCAATAATTGGCTGTTGATTGCTGGTGTTGACTTCTTGATGTGTAGTGCCTCGCAAACGTCAAGCCGCCTGCTATCGCTGTATCTATCGATGATTTCTGTGTTGTTTACTAGGATTTCTCTGGCGATGGTTTGGTTATGGGAAGAGATTATATGTTCCTTAATGGAGCCCTGTTGCTTATGCAACAGGGCTCCATTAAGGAACATATAATCTCTTCCCATAACCAAACCATCGCCAGAGAAATCCTAGTAAACAACACAGAAATCATCGATAGATACAGCGATAGCAGGCGGCTTGACGTTTGCGAGGCACTACACATCAAGAAGTCAACACCAGCAATCAACAGCCAATTATTGCACAACTATATTCTACCCACCTCAAGACTCCGCTCCAATATAGAAGCATCAAGAAATATGGACCAATAGGCTTTCTACAAACACTTCTATTCAATACCCATTGTTTCTGTTCTGTCTTGTGTTGATACTTTTAATACCCTATTAATATCCCCTCTTGTTCTAATGCCACATCACCCCTCCCACCTCACTCAAATGTAGATATAAAATCAGAGATACGTTCTAATCAGTTGTGTATTTGTGAAGTCTTTGAAAATGTAATAAGTTTTACGAAACGCGCCCGTGTCGCGTCAGACTAGAAATAAAAATGAATTTTGGAGAAGTGATTTTTGATTTACCTCCAACAGTGAAGCGTAATGTACGAAAGATTGAGAAAATTCGTGTTAGAATTATTAATCTTACTTTTTCGGTCCTATTTAATAATATATATATATATATATATATATATATATATATATATATATATATATATATATATATATATATATATATATATATATATTGTTGCTTATACCAGTCGGGGGAGTGTTCGGATTTGGTCTATCTGTTTCTGTCTTTGCTCGAAGCTGTAAATCGAAACGTGTTTTATTCCCTTTGAGTTTGTATTATACACACTCTTCAAATCAGTGTATTCAAAACACCTCACCCAGGTCTATTTAGTCCCAGAATAACAAAGTATTATAATATAAATTAAATAAAGAAAAATACCAATTTTAATTGCATCTGACAAAGAAATATTGTCGATTTCTGGATGTATTAGTCAAATAATAATTAGTCACAATTTGTACTGTTGCCTCGGGGTGGAGTTTGTTTTTAGTGAGTTAATAATGTTGAGAAGCAAAATATTTCAAAGACTACTGCAGGTGCCAACTTGTCCTCACGTTAGGCTCGTTAAAGGGGCGACCCACCCATCAAAGACTTCATATATAAATTTCATCGTACTGGGTATTCCCGCAAATAAAACTCCTTATTTAATATACTAGAATGTGGTAAATAGTAAGGATTAACTTAGGTTAGGGAGTTAGATTCTGTTGGTAAATATTAAAATTTGCAGTACGTGGATGAAGCATTTAGAGCAACCCGTCCTCACCCTAGGCTGGTTAAAGCAGCGGCCATCCTCCCCAACCGCATTCATCAATTATACCATACTGTGTGTTAAAAATTGGTTTGTTCTCACATATAAATTAATATTATTATACATAAAAATTCTATATACAGTTAGGCGTAGGTTAAGTTAGGTGTATAGATTCTGTAGGCGAATATTTGTATTTGAGGTACGTGGGTGAAGCATTTATAGAAATGTGGTTTGAACAGAGGACGTGAGCGAAGCACTTGTTCCGAAAGTGTTCGGACGTCATCAGTTGTGAGTCGTGTATAAACCGCTTTTCATTCATAAACATGGGGCTTTGGGGGCCGGATTAACGAGCATTTGACTTTAGTTGGTTAGGATGGACTGAGTTACATATAAATTTCATCTGATTATGATCAAACCTTCTCGAATAGTGCTTCGTGTTCAGTCTATGTTTGAAGCCCATCTCTCTGAACAGCCCATCTTCTAACGGCAGCCCATCGCCAAAACTTTGGCCAATTGCTCGTAATTCATCCACCTAAATCCCGTTTATGAATGCAGAATGCTTTACACATAGTGCACAACCGATAATGTATATACGCGTCTCGAACGCTGCTTTGCTCTCTATTTGTATTCGAATCCGACCTCTGTAAATGCTTCAACCACGTACTCCAAGTACAAATAATTTCCAATGGAACTTAAACACTAACTTAACTTGGCCTTTGACTAGGCTACCAAATTCTAATACATAATATTAATATATTTTAGAATATTTGAATATATTGAATATTATATTTGGAATAAATTCTTAAAATGGAAGAATGTATCTTAGATATCATATGCCATTTGGTCGAGCTTGTCCTCAACTCCGCTTCAACAGTACTGGCACCATGACCATTGCACCAGCGATTGGCTAGTGCCAATCCGTCCTCGACTCAAGTCCATTACATCCAGCGGTCGACCCCACAGACGCATTCATAAACTTTTACATGCTGTTCAGTCAAAACGGGAATTTTCTCAAATATAAATTATTATTATAATATATAAGCATATTGTGCATATATAGGCATAGGTTAGGTTAGGTAAAGTTTAGGTTCTGTTGGCGATTATTTGTATTTGTAGTACGTGGGTGAAGCATTTATAGCGTTGTGGTTCGAACAAAATTCGTCAGTGAAGCACTTGTTCCGAAACTGTTCGAACGTCAACAGTTGTGAGTTGTGTATAAATCGTTTTTCATTCATAAACAGGGAGTTTGGCGGCTGCATGGAATCACTTTTGGCCCTTTGTTTGGAGGACTGGCTGGGATGTAATGGACTTGAGTCGAGGACGGGTTTATAGTGCAGTGGTCATGGGTTCAAATCCTGAGAGGAGTCATTGAGCTATAGTGATATAGCTGTAACTCTATAGCTCAATGTGATATATATATAGTGAGCTATGGTGATATATAATATATATTATATACTATATTGATAGCAATCTTTCTTGTAAACAATATTGAATGACAGATAGGACGAGATCAATGATTCTAGCACGAATCTTCTCTATTCACTTGAGAAAATAGTTGAAATAATTTAACTTTAGCTCATTTTACAGCTCTCTATTACGGCATGACGCTAAGAGCTGCGTTTCGTTGACTGTGTCATCATTTTCAAAGGCAGAGTACAAGTGAATACATGTTAACTGGATCAGCCAAATATACAAGCTGCCTAATATATATCTAGTAAATATACAAATATAAGTGCCGCATGTACCAATGGGCTCACTGCGGCTTGCCTGTCTCCTGTGTTCCAATGATGGCTAGTGAAGCATGCTGGATAGTCTATATTGATCTCTTAGAGACTTAGATGATAGAATGTATCTTAGTCACGCATTTAAATCATATAGTATGAAAAAAATGATTGATTGCGTC